TAAGCATTTGGAGGATCCACCGGTAGCACACGGTTTCAGAGAGCAACTCAAACATGGGTTGATAAAAAACCCGACAACGAACAACCCAAATCCCAGTGCCGAATGAGATATTCTCAACATTGTTATAACAAAAACCTGCAGGGAGACCGTCGGCCAGATCGAAAGAATACAACAGGACTGGTTTGATGAAAATGACCCGATAATCAATGTACTCATCAATGATAAATGTGCTGCTTTAACAGACTGGAAGAACAACCCTCAATCTCGGACCAAAGCTGATACCTTCCGCAAGAAGAAAGCTGTGACCCAGCGGGAACTTCGCAATCTAAAGAATAAATGGTTTAAAAAAAGCATGTGAAACACAATAATTTACAGATTAGCACAAAATGCACGAAATTTTGAATTCCACCAAAATATTTTACGGGCCAATCACTTGTGGGCATCCCCCCTCTGCTAATCCGATGGGAACTCCATAATTAAAGATGACGAAGGCCTCCTTCTGCACTGAAAGAGCACTACTATTCACTGCTCAACCGAAACACTGATATGAATGCCCTGACTACCCAGCAGGTCACTGAGCATCCAGAGCTGACCCACCTCAGCTATCCTTCATTCTTGGACGTGGTAGCTACTTCCATCAAACAGATGAAAAATAACAAAGCCTCAGGGCCTGATGGAATCCCAGCCGAGATGTATAAAGCAGGTGAACCTCTGCTTGCCAGCCGTCTCCACTCTCTTCTGGAGAATATATGGGAAAAGGACAAATTCTCCCAAGCTCTTAAAGACGCCTTCAACGTCAATATTTAAAGGAACAAGGGAGACCGGTCAGACTGTGGCAACTACGGCGTGATCTCACTGCTGTCCGTAGCTGGCAAGATTATCGCCCGAGTCCGAAACAGACTTCTTCCTGAGGCAGAAAACTTCCTCCCAATATCTCAATGTGTCTTTAGACCATCACGTGGCACCACTGACATGATCTTTGCTGTCCGACAGACAGAGGAAAAGTGCAGGGAATGGTGTCGTGACCTATACATGGCTTTCATCGACCTAACGAAGACTTTCGACTTCGTCAATAGGGAAGTCCTCTGGTGGATTCTCAGCCGTTTTGGCTGCTCACCAAAATTCATCGCCATTGTGAGGGAACTCCACTATGGCATGAACGGCAGTGTCTTACACATTGGCACCAAGTCTTTGTTCTTCCCCATCCAAACGGGGGTTAAACAAGGGTGAGTACTGACA